AGCTTTTGCCACTTAACGTGGATTGAGCAGTTCCTTTGGCATGGCATGCCAGCTCCAGGACGCTGCTTGCAGGTGACGGCCTCTAACAACAGACTCAGGCAGGGCGAACACCAAGAGCAATGGTGAGCAAGAGGCTGGTCGGAGCACGCCCCATGGCTCCGAACGAGTGCTTGCACAGTTGGGCATGCTTGTATCGGCAGAGGATCGTGCTCTGGCCCGTGCCCCTGTGCAGAGCCCAAGGTCTGCTGTGTAACATCTATTCTTTGACTGGCAATGCAGCCGAGACGGATGCTGTACCTGACCGTTGTGCTCAGCCCTGAGGAAGGGCAATCTGTGCCTGGGAAACTCCTCGAACATCTCTCCCAGCTCTGCCATGGATCCGATAGAAGATAGCACCAAACCAACCTGGCTTCCCCGATCCAGGCCAGCCAGTGCCATCCTGTGGTCCATCAAGGCAACGTGGCATCCTCAAACGCTCGCCTCTTGAGACAGCAGGGTTTTCGGGGCTGGGAAAGGCACGATGCTGGAATCAAGCTTGCACTCAATCTGCAAGTCCGAGGTCCAGGGCTCGTCTTTCGGCTTTACTGTTCAGTAGCGCTAGTGCCCTGAAAGCCTGGGATGTGCTAGGGGATCATCTTGATTTAAAAGGTAATGTCTCTGATCCCAGCACCACCAGGGACTGGACTCAGCCATGCAAATGGCTCCGAGATGGACGACCGTCCCACACCCCCGCACCATGGATGGTTGTTCTGTTCTCTGTACAACGGCATGCCCGAGGCTGCTGGGATGGGCACCGCGTTTATCCCTTCACCAGGACCCCCCCCCAAAGCACATGCACTCAGCGAGCTGGTAAAGCGCAGAATCCCAGAGCCGTGGGGCTGGCAGGGAGCTGCGGGGTCACATCCAGTCCCAGCCCTGCCTGAGGCAGGATCAGGCCTGTCCAAAGCAGCCCAGACAAACCCCGTGTCTGACCTCGAAGCAAAACTAGTCACCCTGACACAGCCCAGGCATCACCCCCACCTCTGCCCCTGCCCCTGGATACAGGGGGACTGAGGCCACCAACATCCTGCTGCTGCCAAGGGGGTTCACGGACACTGCAGAAAGCCTGTGCCCCCGCTGCAGAGGAAGGCAAACCCCCCCAGTCCACACCAGTCTGAGCAGGGGAGAAAATCCCTTCCTGCCCCAGCGCAGTGTGGGGCTGAGCGCAGGGGCAAGACCCTCCAGCCAGGACCCTGCAGGGTTGTTGCCAGCAGGAGCATTGGCCCAGCCCCGTCCCATCCCCAGTGCCCGGTACATAGCTTTGTAACAGTGACTGGCAAAACAGCTGCACGTGACCCCACAGCCTATGTCAGTAGTTCTCCACCTGGTTGGAGCCCAGGCCCCGCTTGGAAAATGCCAAACTGTTTGTCTACCCTCTTCTTTGACTAGAGAAAAATCCTAGAGCAACCCCCCTGTTGCAAAGAACTCAACAGCCGGGCAGAGCAGTGTTCGCACTCTGGATCCCTGTTGGAAGCCCCTGGGTTTATCTTGTGTATCACATTTGCACGCACCCCTCCCAGTGCGACCACGGCACAGCACCCCACGGCACCCCTGAAAGCATCTCGCGGCCCCCCAGGCTGTAGCTGCACCCAGATGAGGATCACTGGTCAACGCGCACTCATCTTGCCGACCAAGCCTCTGCCCTCACACAACGAGCTAGAGACCGCGGGAAGACTTCACTCAATGGACTGGACTTGGACCAAGGAGAGAGATGGAAGTGGCTGGGACGTTCTTCCTACCCCAGCTGCAAGACACAGAGACAGGAGGAGTTGGAGAACTCCCAGGACAAATCTGAGAAGGGTTTTTTGCGGATATCTTTTCTTGGAGCCAATGTCTAGGTGGAAGAGATGCTAGACAAGGCTTCAAGCACAGAGCGCCCTTCAGCAGGCCTGGGAAAGAAGCAGGTAGAGACAAAAGCAGCTTTGGGCAGGAAGGGAAGTGAGTCAGTGTTTCCCCAACAAGGGGGTGGGTTGTAACCACAGGCAAGCCACGGCTGGGGAGCGGCCCTGGGCGGACTGGATCTCTGATGCAGAAGCAAAGCTCAGCCCAGGACACTCCCCTATAGCAAGGGAAGTGATGGAGGGCTCCAGCCTCCCCCCGGGAAGGCGTGCTGGACGGGTGCTCAGGTCATGTGAGGGGTTTTTGCATGATCTGCCCCCTCCTGTGCTTTATCCTCCAAGTCAAAAGCAAAGCCGTGCTCAGCGACCCCATGCAAAGGCAGCCTCAGACTGCTTACACCTACTGCCGGGCTCCTAAAGGGTGCAACCCCCGAGGCAGCCACTTTTCTGAGCACTTTGCACGAACCACCCCTCTCGCCTGGCCCCAAGTTTCACACGTAGTCGGGGCTGCATCCAAGCCCTGCAGCATCTGTCCGGGACCACGGAAACAGCTGGGAAGGGGATCTCGTCTCCCGATCCACCTAGAAAGCACCCGGCACGCTGTGCAAATGGGGCGAGAGAACTCGAACCGTTTGGGCTTCTCGCCACCGAGTCGGCCCTTCCCACGTCGGACGTCCTGCAGCATCGCAGCCAGGACGGCGCAGGGACCGTGCGAGAGGCAAGAAAGTCTCTCTGTACTGCTCCAGTGACCGAGCAGGCCCAGCTTCCCCAGAGCGCCCAAGCCACCAGCGACAACCACATCGACCTTTCAGGTTTGCTCACTGGTAACAGAGGGTCAGAGCTGGCGTCCCCCCTCCAGCCCACTCCTGCGTGCGTGCGGGAACACGGCTCTCCCCTGCCCAGGATGGGGGCAGACGTGCACACACCCGGTCTGGCCTACAGCGTGCACCGGGGAAGGGCATGCCGCCGGGCCGCCACTCGGCACAGCCCACCGCGGCGGGCACGGGTTACACCCCTGCGCTCCTGCCCGCTTCGCCCAGAGCAACCCCGCTGCAGTCCGGCCCTTCCTCCCCTCCCACGCGGACTGGAGCCCCCCCTCCAGAGCCAGCATCCCCGGGGCCACGGGCCCCCCGCACTGCAGCCCCTTCCCGCTGGTTCAGCTCTTCGGCCCGCAGCGCCGTGTCCCTTCGCGCGCACCCCACAAGCGCCTCTGCCGTCCGGCCACCGCGCTCCACCTCCATCCTCTCGCCGCCGCGCGGACGGGCGAGCCGGCCACGGCCAACCCCACGCCGACGCCGCCA